TAACTTTAGACCATATAACAAGAAATTGTAACCTGGATTCGCTCCTCGTCTGTAAATTAAAGGTAAATGATTGTATTGGAGATAATATTGAATATGACCCATTTCGTGATGGACGGTTTGATAATTTTTTGCATTGATTTGAGTGCACATCTTTATCCTGAAATTTAAAACTTATATAATATAAATAATATTTAGGCAAATAAGGGTTTAAAAATTGTTTGTCAATATTAAATTGATGAATAACAAATTACAGTTGAATTTATTAATAGTAAATTTATTGTATTGTAAGCATGTTTTAGACTAGAAAAATTCCAGTATATGTAAAATTTATGCAGCAAAAAAATTAAAAATGTTTTGCTTTATACTTATTGTTAGTCAATGACTACAGTAATCAACTTTCTGTGGGGTAAGTTATAGTAATCGCAAAAAAAAATTATATACCTTTACGTTTCAGAAGTTGCTGAACATTTTAGCATACCTTAGAAAAAATGGATGTATATGTGTGTGTGCGGATACAAATTTTTGTCAACGATTTCACGAATACGGATCAACCGATTTGACTAATTCAAGAACATTAGATTCCTACTGATAAGGAGTCGTGCTGATTATTTTTTGGCAAAAGCAGGTCTATCCGTTTCGGAGATACGGGGCAAAAAGTGTCAAAATGGTATTTTATTTTTGATTTTGGTAACGGAACGTCCAATTCAAATAATTCGAAAAACATTTTACTTGTATTGACAAAATGAACAACTGGTAGAAGGCAGGTTCAGCGTCTGCGGAGATCCAATAAAAAAAGTAAAAAATAATGCCATTTGGCGGGCAAAAATGAACATAAGACATATGTACAATGATTATAATAATAAGTACAAATTTTTTGTACATTTATATGGGTTTGGTACGGAACCAATGTTTCAAGGTCGCGTCTATGCGGCGCTTACGCGCTTTGACATTTCGAAATCAAATCAGCAATGCAGCGCGATTGCTTAAAAAATGTTCAAAATTTCCAAAAAGTAATCAAAATACAAAAAAAAATCAAAATATAAAAAAATCTAACTTCTCAAAAAAGTCATTTTTATTCAAATATTTCAAAACTTCTAAAAAATCTAATTTTTTCAAAGTTTTGTTAGTAAATTAGGCTTAGGTACGGAAAGTTCCAGCAATTTGTCTTAAGGCACAATGCCATGCACTACTAGTATTATCAACTTTTAAACCAGAGAGAACTGTTTACAAGATATTGAAGAACAACTTATCTCAAAATTAGAGTAGAAAATAAAGCAAAAATATATTACTAGTTCAGTGTATTTAAGAAAACTGAAAATGAATTCGTATTATGTATATTGTACTGAAATTTACGTTCTAATCTATTATTTTTTATTAAATAAATATTTTTGTTTAATTTACCTAACATCCGAGTCTTTTGCTAAATCCATGGCACTTGCATGACAAACAACTTTGCGCCCATCATTTGGTTTTTTCAACATAGATTTCTCCCAGAAGGAATCCGGCACACCCGTCAAGTTTATTGACTTAAAGAAGTCATTTGCCAATTCAAACAATTTTCGTGGTGTATAGTTCTAGAATAATATTTGAGTTCATTATCATTAAATTTGATATGATTTGAATATTAATTAGTCAAATATTTATTGATGACAGAGTACCTACTTACTATAGGTGTTGTTAGTATATTTGAGAAACAACGTACAAATTATGTTATTGAAATAAAATGAGATATCTGGAGTAGAAGATGGGTAAAAAGATCCACCACCGTTATCTTAAAACCAAGTAAAGTTAGGAATTGTTCAACAACAATATTTGAAAGTAGAGGGAAAAAGATGTATAATCAGCCATCACGCCGCTATCAGGAGGTAAGCGGCAATGTTTAAAAATCCATAACAAAACTATTTTGTTCATTGTTGGTTATTTTGGTTGTGAGCACTGTTGTTTAGTTTACGAGATCTTAATAAAACTTGTTGGTAAGCGTTATTTACTTGTTTTATAATATAGTTTGTTAATTTTAAGTTAGATTTAACAGTTTAAAAAATAACTTCTATAAAAGCTTTTATTTGGGTGGGGTAAAGAGGACCAACTGAACCATTATCCTGGTAAAGGTGTAAACAATAAAAAATAGTTAATTAAGTTAACAAAAGCAATTCAACAAGAGATAATTTAAATACAGACTTATTTTAACTATGCTTATGATTATTTCTGACAAAATACTGGATCAATGCTGAATACAATGTCGTCCCTGTAAAAAATGTACCCTGTAAATAATGTAGCTATTATTTCGTTCAACCCCTTTAGAATTAAAGATAGGACATTGTATCTGTTTTCCCAATGGCTGTCCTTTTTATCCAGCCTATGGAATAAACAGGACTAGGTGGTAAAATTTTGAATACCAACAAAAAAAATATTTTCACAATGATGAATTTGCTGGGAGTTTTACTGAACATAGTCAGATTGTTGTTTATTTGATATGTGCAATTTGTTGTAATATAATTGGTTTGGTTTTCACTATATGATTGCTCAAAATCAAATAGGACCTTTGTGGCAAAATTTTGAATAACAGCAAAAAAACATTTCCACATGAATTTACTGGGAGTTTTACTGAACATAGTCAGATAGTTGTTTGTTTGATACGTGCAATTTGTTGTGATATAAATGGTTTGGTTTTCAGAATATTTTTGCTCAAAGTCAAATTGGACTTGTGTGAAAAAATTTTGAATAAGAGCAAAGAAAAAACATTTTTACAATAATGTATTTGCTGGGAGTTTTACTGAACATTGTCAGACTGTTGATTGTTTGATAGATATGTGCAATTTGTTTTGATATAATTGGTTTGGTTTTAACAATATAATTGCTCAAACACAAATTGGACCTTTGTGCCCCGCACTACTCAAATATTAAAACTAGCAAATTGTACATATTTTTAACAATCGTCAATAATTTAATTATTATCAGTATTTTTATCCGTACTAATGTATATTGTTTAGTGAAGCATGAAATCCATATCAGTTTTATTGTTTCTAATTTTCCCAAGTATTAGTATTTGTTTTGACAGAAAATCCGATTTTACAATTTTATGTATGGTATGTCAAATCATTCTGAATCATTTGAGACAATATTTAGAAAAAGTTATGCAATTTTACACCTTCCACCGCCGATTGCTCAAAAACGGCTACACTGATTTCCAAAATTTAAATACCATTCGATGTAATTTGATAAGGTATAGTTAGTAGAATATTTGTCCAAATTTTTTTTGGAATTTTACTTGTGCTAATAATTTCGGTGTTATATCTGCCCCATTTGCGTCCGGATACGGTTTAACAATATCTTCAATTTGAGACCATTTTTGCGCCCAATTGTTGCCTAGCAAATGAGCCGGAATTGGGCCTCGTTCTGATACCACTTCTACAGAATAATGTCTTCTTAACTTATATCGAACATAAGCGTGAAGTTGGTTGTATAAAGGTTTCAATTCCCTTAATATACTGGAAAGCTCATCTTCGAAATCCTTAGTGTCGTATTCTGATAGCCACATTTCGGCAACGTCGGTGTAATCTAAATGTATGAAACAATAATAATATATATTATTATATATATTAAGTTTTTGGTTGTGAAAAAAAGAGACTGAATCGGATCCATGCTATAAAAGTGCATGCTGCACGAATCCTCAACTAAAGTCACTAAAATTACTTTGTTGGAGAAGAATACTAGTTATCGAGAGTAAAATTTATAGGAAACTGAAAGTAGAGACAAAAATTTATAATGTGAAATGTATGTAAGTGAAACTATAAACAATTGTGAGATAAAGGGTTTGAAAATAATAAGTGTATTTCGTCGTTTACCTTTATATTGGCATTTTTATTGAGAGCGTAGCCTTTCATAATAATAGAGATCGTCTTCAAGAGATCTGTGTATATAATTAACTTCTAGTACATATTTTGAGCAAAGTATTCTTCTAGTACATTTTTGGAGCAAATTGTTTAGTTTCGGTAAAGAATAATGCTTCTATTCAGATTGGAGAAAAAATGGAGAAAAAGAGACAGAAGTTTGAAATTTAAAATGTAAAAAGTGTTAGTGTAAAAGTATAAACAACTGCAGAAAAAGGTGTGAAAATAATATAGTCGACGCAAAAATAGTCTTTTTAAATTTGTATAATATTTGTAAAGATAACACAGCCTTACATTACATTAAGAAATGTACATATTCAAATATTTTAGCGGGGCTTGTTTTTAAGGATTTTTTGACCCCTCTCCCCCTTGGTGATACATGGTGATATTCAAAATTACCCCTCCTTCCCCACCAAACATCAGGTGTATTTTTGTTTACGTTTTGAATGTTTGAACTTTTTTAAAAAAAATTAATTAAAATATTAATACACGTGATAATTTACTATACTCGTGATACTATTACGTGATACTTCGTAGTATTTGTTAAACCTACCACCCCCCCTTCCCATAAAAAAACCCAAGTGATTAATAGACGCCCTCTTAAAACATTTTTACAAATGTGTGTTTATAATTAATTTTTATTAATTAATTTTAATTGATTTAATGCTAAACATTTTTATAAAAATAGCAGTTTTCGCTCTCCTTTTTTCATTGCAATAATTTAAATAAAAATTATTATTTATTGCCTTTATTAAAATCTTGTTTTCTTCGCAGTTTTTAAACTTCCTGAATTTTTAACAGTGTCCAAAAGCAAATATTGTCAATACAAATGACAATTGTATATTATCATCACTAAATTGTTTTCGCTATTATTTTTGACCTTAATTTAGGCTTCAAGTGACTTGTCAAGTGAGTAAATTGAGTAGTTCCGTATTTCCTACACAATTTACATATTCAAATATCCCTGTAATTGTCAATATGTTCTTGAAAATAAAATCTACGTTTTTTAATATATTACACATAAATATTATTTAGCAATATAATTTCGTTATTATTTTTAGATATTCATAAACTTTGCATATATAACTACGCGACTTATCTATTGCAAGTAAAACTTTCGTTAATCTAAGGTCATGAATATGCAAAAGCAGAGCATTTTCTTTGTTTTATTATAAATAATTTCTTCGTTCTTTGAATATTCACTCACTATTAAGTCGAGCTGCTTCGTTTTTCAATTCAACATACTCTGAATATAATTTTCGAATTGGAGCTCCGGCCACGTTTCTCCATTGTTCCCAAACGTACTGTAATTCTTTTGCATTTCTACTTTTTGCAAAGATTTCGTTCACATCTGGAACAAGATTGAACTAGATATAATTCATAATCTTTTATTTTTTAATCAGGCATACTTGGTGTTTTATCGAGTTTGACAATTTAATTGCCATAATATTATTCGTGAAATATATAGAATTTTGTACAATAAGGAAAATTTTGCAAGCGAAAGTTTTTGGATAAACTGAAATATCATTATGTTAATGTTTCATACACTCTACAACTTATTAATTTTTTTTTTCTTTTTTTGAAAATGATTTTTAGAGTTTGAGTTCTGAATATTTCGAAAAATTTAGAACACTTCAAAAGTTTTGAAATATTAATGATGAATGTGGCATGTTCTGTAAATAATTCAACAAACTAAATATTTTATACTAGATTCTAGTTGGATAAAAAATAATTCCTGATTTATAATATCATTACCAAAATTTCTCTAAACAATTTACGTAGGCAAAATTTTGTTAGAATATTGTTGTTTTTTAAGTAATCTTCAAAATGGAATAAATTACAAAAAATTACGATTCTAGTAGATTTATTCTCTTAATTATTGAATAAAAATTGTTGTTTTTATTCAATAATCTTTAAAAATGGTATTAATTAATTTACAATAATGGTATTATTGTTAATTAACAATTTACAATATTGTAGCCATTTGTAATTAAAATTTATTAATTTCAAATTATGTATATTTATACGTCTGATTATTGGATGTAAATTATTTTTATCTGAAAGATACCAAAATTTTCAAATTAATGGTTATAACTCTCGTATAACATTGAAATGATTGATCAGACAAGAAATTTAATTTTAATTTTTTTATGGCACTCCTAATTTTTTTTAATTACACAATACAATAAATATAAATGAAATAAAAAAATAACATAAATATAAATGAAATAGAGTACAAAATAAAGGATAGTATTTACATCGAAATGATATCCGTATTATGATGATTATGAAAGAAAAGAATGATAATAAAAAAACTAATTGTTAACTAAAGTAAAATACTAGGCAATTGCATAAATGTTTAACAAAAAAGTGTATAGTTCTTTCTATTTTAGTAACATTTTGATAATTTTTAATTGATTAATCATTTGCAAAATCAAATCTAATTACTTGTTTAAAAAAATATCAAATATCTATGAATTAAAAATAAAATTATCAGTCTTTTAAAATAGTTTTACCTGAATCCAATTCCAAATCGCACTTTTTTCTATTCTTATAATCGCATATCTTTGCAGTTGCATAATTTGTTTTCATTTCATTTTGAATATCTTGCAGTCGACGATATTTATGTTCATTTAAAATACTATCTCCTAATTTAAGATGAAGCTTGAACTGTCTTTTAAGATCTTCATCTTTAAATTGCCTCCAATTGAATTTTGAAGCTTCTGCAAGTTGGAGCTTTCTATATAAAGCATATTCTGCATTTACTTTTTTCTAGAATAAAAAGTTGTAGTACTAGATGTTATTAGAAGTAAAATTCGTTTGCAATTTGTGATTGGCAAAGAGTTTATTTTAGCAATTTAAATAGATGTTATGTTATATTATATTATATTTACAACATAAACAGATAAAAATATTTTTTACAAACCTTTTTCTCTGCATTTTCTTTCGTTATATTAGTGTTATAATCCCAATTGGCTAGTCCTATACGATTATACCAATCTATATTGGGCTGTTCTATTAACTCTAAAAAATTGGCAGCTTTTTCTTCTTCCTGATCGAAATCAGTTTTGGCGCCAAGTGTCAAGGTCGACAAAGATATTGCCAATATTAAAACTTTTAATGTCAATTCAATCATTATGAACTATATTTACTTCTTTTGTAGTCATTTAATCACTTTGCTCATATTTAACTATATAATCTAATACAAGATATATAAATTATTACAGCTCATATTATTAAATATAGATATTATTAGTACAATATGTTATTGATTATAGTATTTTGCTATGAAAGTATATAATATTGCTTCGTAGATACTAATAATAGGTTCCTTTTATCTATTTTAATTTACATGATAGGAAATACATAAACAAAGCAATTTGCAATTTCTGCCATTAGATATAGTCGATCAAAATCGTACTCATTTTAAAGAATATAAAATATAGAATATAAAGAATATAGAAGTTTATTTACATATATATATATATATATATATATATATATATTATCATTAAATGACAAATATGAATAATTTTTCAAGAATTTCACTAATCCAATCACAATCACTGCATTGCTACAATTGCTTTACTAATATTTAATTTTTTATTAAAACAAAAACTTTTTTTGAAGTATTTTCATAAATTCAAATATATTTCAATTTATTTTTATGGAAATTGTGGAAAACGTACGTATAGTTGAACTGCACAAAATATACTGCAAAAGAACAAGACACTTGATAAAAACCTTTCGCATTCATTTTACTTTAGCGCGCGCATATAATTCATAACATTACTACAAATCGGTGTAAACGGAATAGTTTTACCTTATAAAATGTGTATTTCAAATCATTAAAAGATATTTCATAATTTTTCTACGATTTTTTCACTATATTTTCACATTTCGATATGGATGAAACCTCTTAAATTCGAATTTCTTTATTTTTTTATTTTTTGTTTTAATGAAGAATTCTGCATATTTCTGGATATCCATGGTAAGTTTTCTTATAATTAATTAAATAAAAATGTTTACACGAAGAAATTAGTATATATTAATACCTTTATAATTATGTTTTCATACTTGATATGTGCCATAATTCATGCAATATTATACAATAATTGTTGAACATGTTTCATTATTTGAAAAAAAGATATACATATCATACTATAGAACAAATCAGAAAGGACAGAATACATTTTATATTTTATCATTCATTAAAACACCAAAATGAAACAAAAAGGACAGTAGGTATACTTTTTATAATATTTTAATCATTTACTAAAATATCAAAACAAAATGCAAAATAAAAAATTATATATAAATCCAGAAATGTTTGATAAAACATTAGTCGGTTTATGAAGGTTCAAAGTGTAGTTCAGATTTCTTTTAGAATAGCAATCAGAAACTATGAATTTTTTTCAATTCTTGTGATGATACTTTGTAACTACGATCTTCACCTTTTCAAATCGCAACTCAATGGTTTTATTGCTTGAACTAGACCTTTAATACTGCTGATTGACCCAGCAATGTAGGGCCACTTTTACTGCGAAACATATTTTCAACTATTAAGTAACTGCTTGATTTCTAGGTGGCCGGAGTTGGTTCGAACTTGAAAGCTTGGTTGTAAAGCCACGGCTCTTAGGACAGAGCCACGAAGAACCTCTGGATATGATATGATAATCATAATTCTTTGGCTACCATGTAAGTACTAATTACAAATTGATACGTTTGTTAACGCCAGAATTTTAAAAAACAAAATAAGTATTCAACAAATCCACTGTGCTCATATTTTTATATAAAATTATTTCATGACTAGTATTGAAGATGTTATTGAGATCACATACTTCAAGAACATAGTATTGAATTAGAACTCGCGACTCAATTATTGTCAAAAAATATTCTGTTGTGCATTTTGTTTTTTACTGATCGTTGGAGTATTAGATTATTTTTTGGCAGTAATAATAATAGCTTTTAATATTAAGCTGGATACCTGGATTAACTTTTTGAATGAAAAAATATAAATTCATCCTAGAAGTTGTTTCCACTCTTACATATGAGTATTGTTGAAAATTATTCACTAACGCCATCAGTAAGTACACGTCCAAAGTTCGTGCATTTCTTATACGAACCTTTCTAACCAATGAACGGTGGCGCTCTTATATGAGAGTGCGCATAGTTTTGGGTCGTCTGAATCAAGCTTATGACGAATATATTCGTCAATCACATATTTGTTTATCTTGAAAATTTCAAAATTTTTATCATTTTATTTTACTTATTTGTTAACATAAAAGCTTATATTACATATGTATAAAACTAAATAGTAGTAACTAAAGTTATGGCAAGGCTATGTTACGTAGCATTTTTCATATAAAATGGTACTAAAATTTTTCAAAATGCTATGTGGTTGCTTTGCTTTAGGCGTTTTGAATATAAAATAATCTAACCTAGAAAACGCACACACGTAAAAAGAATCATATAAAAAGTGCATCTTCCTGGTGTGTCATAATAATACGTGCGAAATGTAAGCACTTATGTGCAAAACGCCTGATCACTCAGCAAATACATAGAATTTTGACAGTTTTCATTACCATTTTACATGAAAAACGCAGCTTAATATAGACTTGTCATAACATTGGTCTATTTTAGGAACGGTTAATATCTTATTTAAGTGTGTATTAAATTTACTATTCCCATCTTCTTGCACATTTCTCAAGCTCGAACAAAAAGTCGGATTGCTGAAAGCTGAACATTGTTCAGGTAGACAACCGTACTTTATAAAAAAACGGATGTATTTGTATGTGTGCGGATACAAATTGTTGTCGACGATTTCAGGAATACGGATCAATCGATTTGAATAATTCAAAAACCATTCGCCTTAAGGCAAATTGCTAGAACTTCCCGTACCGAAAGGAAATGTTCGAGGATTATTAAATGTTTTCAAATAGATTATTAAAAATACTGTAACTAATAGTTTAATATTTATAAGAATTATATGAACTGAACTGCAAAGTCAAAATCATTTAATTAAAGTTCATCAGTGAGCCAGAATTAAAATTAAAATCTGAATTATTTTCGATATACAAAAAATATTTTTCGGGAAAAAAATAATTAAATTTTGAAATAAAAAAAATCCAAAAGCAATTGTGTCGTCAACACAAGCTTTTTGAATTATTCAAGTCGAATGCTTAGTTTTCTCAAAAATTGCCATTTTGTGCACGTTTAGCTCTTTATCTTCGAAATGGCTCGACCTGCATTCGCCAAAGCAAATCACTACTTCTCACAACCATTACAAATTCAATGTTTTTTGGATCATATCTCCATAACGGCTAGAAATGCCCTTGCTAAACACTAGTCAGCACATGTTCCTATCAATAAAAAACGAATATTTTTTAAATCATTCAAATCGGTTGATCCGTGCGCCCGAAAACGTGCACCAAAAAATGCGGACATGCAAAACACACACACACATCCATTTTTTCTGAGGTATGCCAAAATGTTCAGAAACCTTCATAACGTCGAGAAATGCAAAAATTTTCGTTTTCGATTTTTGGCCCATTACTATAACTACCCTACGGGAAGTTAAAAATCAAACGTTTTAAAAATTTTGTTGGAAAAGATTCAAAATTTTCATAAAATTTTAAAGCTTCTAAAAATAACGCTCCAGGAAGTTTAAACAATTTTCCATATACCACTAGTAAAATAAATAAGATTGAAATTGAGTTGTTTATCTTTTCGCCTGAAGCAATACAAGTCCACAACTTGGCACAACTTTTGTTGACAATACATATTCGGCTTTATTGGTCAGACATTAGATCCACGTGCAAAAAAACTTATTGCAGAAAAAAAGTAAAGATAAAAATGTAACAAAAGCAAAAAAATACATACTTATTAACTTCCCGTGGGGTAAGTTATAGTAATCGCAAAAAATTTGAAAATGAAAATTTTTGCATCTCTTCACGTTTTGAAGGTTTCTGAACATTTTGTCATATCTTATAATTAGAAAAAATTGATGTATGTGTGTGTGTACATGGATACAATTTTTCGTCCACAATTTTGGGCGCAAAAATCAACCAATTAGAGTGATTAAACATTGAACATTCGATTACTATTGATGAGAAGACGTGCTGATTAGTTTTTGGTGGGGACAGGTCCATCAATTTCAAATATACAGGGCAAAAAGAGCCAAAAACGGTATTTCAATTTTTGAAAGAACGGTGTATCCGATTTCAATGATTCAAAAAACATGTTTATTGCATTGACGAAATGAAGCATTGATGAAATTTTTGCTAAGGCAGGTCTAGCGATTTTGGAGATACAGAGGAAAAAGTAAAAAAAACGATATTTGGCGGTCATAAATGATCATTAGATATAGGCACATTAAATTATCAGATATTTGATAAAATTTTCAAAAATGAGTACTACTTTTGTTGGGTTCTGTACTAAGATTGTTAATTTTTAAGGTTTACTTATACGGTTAAAACAAATTTCAAAATTTTCAAAAAAAATGTTTTTTCAAAAATATAGTTTTATACTTCAAATTTCGAATTTTAAATTCACAAACCAGTTTGAAAATGTAAATATTTCAAATGCGTTATTCTAATCGTAAAAAATATAACCTCAGATGGATTTATTCGGCACCTATTGCTAATGTAAACTTTTTCAAGTGTTTTGAGCGATAAGGTCGTTACTGTATTTTTTATGAACGATAAAATATATTGTTATGTACAATTACTCCTAGGCTTATTTAAATATTTTCATATCAGGACTACATCTATAAGCTAGACATATCCAACATCGAATCGGATCACCACTGGGTGACCTTTCAACCTTTTTCCTTTATTTAATAAACCATCGAAATTACTGAATGTTGTATTAGAACGACAGATTGTAATTCACAAATGTAAATAAAAAAATAAAAAATATAACTAGCTGTAAGTGGAATTCTGTCTTAAGGCAATTAGGGCATCGTGTCTTAAGGCAAATTGCTGGAACTTCCCGTACCAAAAATTATTATTTTTTAAAAACGATTAACATTTTTGAAAAAAACTTATTTCAAAAAAATAAAATTTTTGAGAAACTATAAATTGGACAAAAAATTACTTTTTATTAAAAATATTAAAAAAAAAAAAATAAAAAAAA